TGCCGAGAGTCCTCACTTTATTATAATCCCAAGTGATGGTACCATTGGACAAACTATATCTAGCTTGCTTGATTGTATCATTAATATTTTTTTCCGCAAGTTAATGTTGGGTTTAGTCACTGGTGCATATTAATACAAGGCTAAAGGTGTTCTTTAACAACAGAACACAAGTTTATTTCACAAAAGAGAAAAAAAAGGTGAACCAAACGATACGTATATAGAAAACAATTTAGGAAGATCTTAACACAAATAGGAAAACAAAGTTTTATGAATAAAAAGCTGACATTAAAATATTATCCATGGGGGAAATAGGTGGCAGATGTGGTTCAATGTACAGAAGTGTGACATGATGCATTTTAGTGCAACAGAATGTAATATAGGGTGCAGGATCAGAGGGAAATTGGTGTATTTGTGCATATATCATAGAATATGGCAGAACAGGTAAGAAAGCAGTTAATAAAGTGTGCGGTATCTCAGGCTTAAAATGTGTATAGAATACAAGAGCCAGGAGGTTATTCTCATCTTGTACAAGACACTTGTTAAATTTCACCTGGAGTATTGTCTAGTTCTGGGCACCAAACTAGAGGAAGGATGTGAATGCATTGGAGAAAGTGCGGAAAGGATTTACTTTTCCAGAGGTAAGAGGAGTTGGACCTGTGGCAAGGCAGGTTCTTGGGAGCTTGGCTGAATTTGAAAAAAGGCTGGGTAACATCTCAGGAAAATCGTTAGTTGATTGGTTCTTAAGCATCTGTTGTTGGAGACTTCAATAGGGCAACAGCAAAGCTGGGCAGGATAGACGGAAGGTTGGTGGGAGAAACAGTAGCTGAACAATGGATTACTGTTGAAGAAGAGATGGTTTGAGCACAGTCAAGGTGCATTCTCTCAAAATGGAAAGGTGAGACATGCAAATTCAGAGCTTGCTGGATGGTAAAGGAGATTATGATAGTGTGCTTATGACACATCAGGTAGAAAATACTGTTGAGAGCCAAGTTCAGAAAGGGAAGTGAAAAAGCAAATAAGAGAAGCAAAGAGGGATTATGCAAAAAAGACTGACAGCTAGTGTAAAGGGAATCTCAAAATCTTCCCAGCACACCAATAGTAACAGGGTGGCAAAAGGAGGAGCAGGACTGATTAGGGATTCAGGATGATTACACATAGGACCATGAGGCATGGCTGGCATGTTAATTGAATGCAAAAACAAATTATTGGAAAAACTCAGTAGGTCTGGCAGCACCTGTGGAGCGATAGCAGAGTTCATGTTTTTGTTCCAGTGACCCTCCTTCAGAGCATGTTCATTGAACACTTTTACTGGTATTTACATCTGAAGCAGATGCTGCCCAGGCTATAGTGACAGGAGGAAACTCCGTCACTGGAAAGATTTAAAATTGATAAGGTGGAGGAATTAGAAAAGCTATTGGAACTTAAGTTGATAAGGTCCTGGGACCAGATGAGATGCATGCAAGGAAATTGAAGGAAGTAAGAGTGGGCATTGAAGAGGCACTGGCAATATTTCCATCTTCCTGGATATGGGGGTGGTGCTGAAAAATTGGAGATGTGCAAGCATTACGCCCTGTAAAGAGAGAATATGCTGTTACAAACCAGTTTTACTTTGTTTTGCGAAGTTTCCCACCAATTATTCAAAATGCAATCAAAAATCATCTGGAAAAATTGAGTTTATTTTGAAGGGTCAAAGTGGATTTGTTGAGGGAACATCATGCAAGTCTCTTTCTTAGATTTGGAATCAATGACAGGAGTGATTGATTGATTGGACAGAATATAAGGAACAGCAAACAATGGCTAAAAGATTAATAAGGAGGTAAAAATTATGGAATGAGAGAAGCAGAATGGAAGTATATAAAATGAATGGTAAAAGTTTCTATAGATATTTAAAAGTGTTAAGAGTGAACATTGTTCCTATAGAAAGCTTGTCTAGGGAATTAATGATGGAAAATGAAGTAATGGCAGAGGCAGACAAATTAAATAGTCATTCTACATTGGCGTTCACTGTAGAGGATACAAATCTCATCCTAGAAGTGGCTGTAAATCAGGAAAGGAGGATGGTTCAATCACCAGGAAAATGGTACTGAGCAACTTATGGGAGCTGCATGCTGACGTCACGTCCCTGAGCCCTGATAAACTTCATCCTGGGACCTTAAAAGAAGTGGCAAGTTGGGTAGTGAAACATTGATTTAATTTTCCAAAATTCCCTAGATTCAGGAAAGATTTGCAGGTCTATAAATAATAAAACAGTGGTAAAATGAGAGGTGCAACCAATTAGGAACCAAAAGGGGAATTTACACACGGAGGTAGAGGACATGGTATACTATTAAAGTATTAAATTAATACTGTGCCTCTGTCTTTACCCAGGCTGAAAATGCTACCCGGTCATGGTGAAACTGGAGCAAATTAAGTTGTTTAAAATTGGCGTGGTGTTATTGGATTGGCTGTGTACTTAAAGTTGACAAGACACCAGGACCAGATAAGCTCGATTCAAGGATACTGGGGGAAGCGAGAGTAGAAATTGTAGGGCGTGTGTCGTTGTTTTTAAGTCGTCCTTAGATTGCAAGGTGGTATTGGAGGGCTAGTGAATTGCAAATGTTAGGCACGTGTTTGGCTATTCCTTGCACCTTTTTTTGAACAACTACAGACTGGTCAGTTTAACCTCAGTGGTTGAAAAACTTCCTGAAATAATAATTCAGGACAAAATTAATAGACAAGGACAAGTGCAGGTTAATTAAGGAAAGCCAGCATGGATTAATTTATGGTAAAGTGATTAGGAAGGGAGATTTAGGATTTTGACTGGTGATATATTTCCAAGTGGAGATGGTGAGTCGCTTGGAGGGTAACTTGCAGGTGGTGGTGAGGAGTATTGAATTATCCATAATCCTACTGAATGACAAAGCAGGCTTGAGGGGCTGAATGGCATCTTCCTGTTCCTATGTCTTTTGGACTTATGGTCTTATGGCTGTTCTTAACCTTCAAAGGCGCTGTGGAGGAGGACATGGTGAGCTGCTGCAGTGTATCCTGTAGGTAGTACACATCTCTGAATCCCCTTGGCACCAACGTTCAAGATGGTGGATTGGACTGATCAAGTGGCTGCTTTGTCCTTGATGGTGTTGAGCTACAGCCAGTGGAAGTTGGTGGATGTAAACAAAATGCTGAGAATCTGAAAACCTGATGGTGTCTGGCACCAGCTGAGGAGAAAGAAACGGAGTCCACGTTTAAGTCCACTATGACTCTTCAGAGGTGGATGGTTTAGGATGGTGAATAAAATACCAATCAAATTAACTGTTTTGTCCTTCATAGTGTTAAGGTTCTTGCTTTATTCCACATTTGCGTAACAGTGTTGGGGGCTAGGGGCGGTGGTGGTGGTGGTAGGAGAAGAGAGTATGTGGGCCAGAAGACCTGGAGGGAGGGAAGTGAAGAGGCAGTGGGAGAGAGAGATAGAGAGAAATGTTTGGATCCAGGTCTGGTCTGGCAGGGAATCTTGGGTACAGAGCAGGAGATGGAAGTGTTGGGAGGTGGAGGTGATGTATTTGGAGGTGTGAGAGGTACATATGGGGTCTTTAGATTCCTATTCAGGAGTTGGACAGCGTCCTTAATTGTGTAAAGTTTCCTGTACATTAATTTACTTAATTTCATTGGAACCTCCAAATACTCCACTTTAAACGAGCATTTTGGTGAGTTTTAGTATAGAGGAATTGCCTAGCCGGGTCTCCATGCGCAACTCCAAACCATGCTGGTCACCTTGCCACTGGAAAATACACTGTGTCTGTATGTAGGCCTGTTACACAAGTATGTTGCAAAGCAATACTTCACATGACTAATAATTAATTGAAAGACAAATTAGATTTTCAGAAAATAAACCTGTGGGTTACGATATGCATAATTTAAGACACGATGTTGTAAGTGCTGTAAGAATAACTTTGGGCAAATTCAAGATCTCTAACACTGTTTTCCCTGTTAAATTTTGAGTTTTTTGTTGACTTATAATGAAAGCCTTGTATTTATCTGTCATATCTTTTCTAACTGCTTCCTAAAGTGCTTTATAGCCAGATAGGACAGTGATTGTATTTCAGAAGCACTAATGAAATGCAGCAGCCATTTTGTGCACATTTAGCTCCCACACATACCAAGATAATAATAGAGAGATAAACTGTAGCCAGAATACCAGAGATAAACTTCCCTACTCTTCCCTGAATAGTGCAGTGGGCTCTTTTTGCTTTTAGCTGAGATTGGTTCAAGGAGCTCATTTAGCATACTATCCCTAACTTGAGCCATAAACTCTGGATTGGAGTCCCACTTCAGGACTTGATGGCTAAAGCGGGTATGTTCGTAAAATGGGCAAATAGGTTGAATGTCAACCTATTAGTTCTTTTATGTTATGCCTATGGCAGGCATAAGAAGAGGAGGAACTCGTGGTCAGCTGTTCTTGATATGGAGTAGTGTGCCTCCCAGGTAGACACCCTTGTTACAGGCTTGACACCTGATCCAGGAAAATGCAAATGTTTTGCAACATGCGCCACTGGGTGTAAAAGGAGAAAACGACTTGATTATGGCTTTATCGTGTGACTTTCAGAATGGTAAATGGTCAGTGCGATGGCTGTGACATTTTCTTATTATAGTTGCTATGTTTTGAACAAAAGTTGTTGCGGCACTCTAATTCCACTCCTCCTTGAACTCGTTGTTCCATCCTGTTCTGTTCACTAGGATTCTAGTACATGAGTAATGTATTGCAGCAATGGTCCAGCACATCGGAGAAACTTGCCACAAATGGATAATAAATAATGCTCTTGATCAATTTATGATGAAACATGTTCTGTGCAAACAACTAATTACAATTTATAAATAAATTTCAGGAAACCATTATTAATTAAGTAATGACAAATTCAGCCTGGTCTTTTTTACATTAACCAGAGTGGCTAACAGGTTCTGAGAGCAGAATATTGATTATTGATCAATGATCAGATCTAAAAGACTTCTTTTTTCTCTCACTTTAGAACAAGCTTGCCAGCTCCAATGTTTTCCAGAAATGATTTTAGCATTTGGAGTATATTACGTAAATGCATTGGAATGGTGAGTAAATTTGGTGCTCTATGCTTATTTAGTTTTTTGATGTGTGGAACTAAATTCCATTACCTGATAGGGAGAGAAAATGTCATGCAGAACATTCTCACTTTAATAATTGATATTCACTGTTGTATTGTCGTCTTGGTAGTAGAATTGTCTCCATTCTGGAATGTGCCAATTAACTATGAAATAGGAGCGAGAGTAGGCCACTCGGCGCCTTGAGCCTGCTCCACTATTCATTAACATCATGGGTGAACGAATGACTCCAAATTCTGCCCACCTTGATAATGTTTCAACACTGCTAACCAAGAATCTATCTACCTCGGCCTTAAAAATATTCAAACACCAACTTTTGAGGAGCAGTGTTCCAAAGACTCTTGGATTTGTGTGTTATGAAATTCTGTTTCTTCATTTCTCATTCTTTCATTCTCATCACTGGCAAGGCTGAAAGGAAGGGTGTTAGTGAATTAGATGGGTTTTAATGTCAATGGAGGATGATCTCAGTAAAAAGGACCATGAGACAAACTTTATTTTCCAGATTGATGCATTGATTTTTAAATTACACCCAGTCCCGTAGTGGGATTTAAACCCATGTCCCCAAACATTGAACTGGGCTTCTGGATTGTTAATCCAATTATATTACTGTCACATTTTCACTCTTTTTCATTTTACCTATTACTAGAGTGCTTTAAAAATTGCTATTTTTAAGTCCTTCTCAATACAATCTTATTTGGTCGAGCAGGTAGATGTGAGATGTTTCTATAGTTATCAGTGTGAAAATATAGTCAGTGTAAACTAAATGCAATTTAGACCATTCCCTGACTAACACCTCCAGCACAACCAAAGACCACTACAGTTGTTGATATTTTTGTCAGGCTGATTTGCTGATTTCAAATTTTTTTTTATTCATTTGTGGGAGGTGAGTAGTACTGGCTGACCAATATTTATTGCCCGTCCCTAGTTGCCCTTGAGAATGTGGTTGTGAGCTGCCTTCTTGAGTTGCTGCAATGCACGTTTTGTGGACCCCACAATGCTGTCAGGGAAGGAATTCCAGGATTTTGACCCAGCAATACTGAAGGAACGGCGATATAGTTCCAAGTCATGGGGGAGGCAATGGTCTAGTGGTATTATGGCTGGACTGTTAGTCCAGACACTCAGATAATGTTCTCGGGCTCGGGTTCAAATCCCGCCATGACAGATGATGCAATTTGAATTCAATAAATATCTGGAATTTAGAACCTAATGATGACTGTGAATCCATTGTCAATTGTCAGGAAAATCCATCTGGTTCACTAATGTCCTTTAGGGAAGGAACCTACCATCCTTACCTGGGATAACAAGGTGTAGAGCTGGATGAACACAGCAGGCCAAGCAGTCTCCGAGGAGCAGGAAAGCTGATGTTTCGGGTCTAGACCCTCCTTCAGAAATGGGGGAGGGGAAGGGGATTCTGAAATTAATAGGGAGAGAGGGGGAGGCGGATAGAAGATGGATAAAGGAGAAGATAGGTGGAGAGGAGACAGACAGGTCAAAGAGGCGGGGATGGAGCCAGTAAAGGTGAGTGTAGGTGGGGAATTAGGGAGGGGATAGGTCAGTCCAGGGAGGACAGACAGGTCAAGGGGGCGGGATGAGGTTAGTGGGTAGGAGATGGGGGTGGGGCTTGAGGTGGGAGGAATGGTTAGGGAGGCGGGGACGAGCTGGGCTGGTTTTGGGATGCGGTCGGGGGAGGGGAGATTTTGAAGCTTGTGAAGTCCACATTGATACCCTTGGGCTACAGGGTTCCCAAGCAAAATATGAGATGCTGTTCCTGCAGCTTTTTGGGTGGCATCATTGTGGCACTGCAGGAGGCCCAGGATGGACATGTCGTCCAAGGAGTAGGAGGGGGGAGTTGAAATGGTTCGCAACTGGGAGGTGCAGTTGTTTGTTGCGAACCGAGCGTAGGTGTTCTGCAAAGCGGTCCTCAACCCTCTGCTTGGTTTCCCCGATGTAGAGGAGGCCACAACGGGAACAGCGGATACAGTATACTACATTAGCAGATGTGCAGGTGAACATCTGCTTGATGTGGAAGGTCGTCTTAGGGCCTGGGATGGGGGTGTAGGGGCAGGTGTACCACTTCCTGCGATTGCAGGAAAAAGTGCCGGGTGCGGTGGGTCTGGAGGGCAGTGTGGAGCAGACAAGGGAGTCACGGAGAGAGTGGTCCCTCCGGAAAGCAGATAAGGGTGGGGAGGGAAAAATGTCTTTGGTAGTGGGGTCGGATTGCAGATGGCGGAAGTGTCGGAGGATGATGCGTTGGATTCGGAGGCTGGTGGGGTGGTACGTGAGGATGATGGGGATTCTGTTTTGGTTATTGCGGGGAGGGAATGTGAGGAATGAGTTGCAGGAAATGCGAGAGACACGGTCGAGGGCATTTTCGACCACTGTGGAGGGGAAGTTGCGGTCCTTGAAAAACGAGGATATCTGGGATGTCCAGGAATGGAATGCCTCATCCTGGGAGTAGATGTGGCGGAGGCGAAGGAATTGGGAATAGGGGATGGCATTTTTGCAGGAAGGTGGGTGGGAGGAGGAGTATTCTAGGTAGCTGTGGGAGTCAGTGGGCTTGAAATGGATATCGGTTTCTAGGTGGTTGCCAGAGATGGAGACAGAGGTCCAGGAAGGAGAGAGAGGTATCAGAGATGGTCCAGGTGAACTTCAGGTTGGGGTGGAAGGTGTTAGTGAAGTGGATGAAGTGTTCAAGCTCCTCGTGGGAGCACGAGGTGGCGCTGATACAGTCATCGATGTAACGGAGGAAGAGGTGGGGGATAGGGCCAGTGTAGCTTTGGAACAGGGATTGTTCCACGTATCCTACAAAGAGGCAAGCATAGCTTGGGCCCATGCGGGTACCCATGGCCACCCCCTTTGTCTGTAGGAAGTGGGAGGAATTGAAAGAGAAGTTGTTGAGGATGAGGACGAGTTCGGCTAAGCGGATGAGGGTGTCAGTGGAGGGGGACTGGTCGGGCTTGCGGGACAGGAAGAAGCAGAGGGCCTTTAGGCCATCTGCATGGTGAATGCAGGTGTATAGGGACTGGACGCCCATGGTAAAGATGAGGTGTTGGGGACCAGGGAATTGGAAGTTTTGGTGGAGGTGGAGGGCATGGGTGGTGTCACGGACATAGGTCGGGAGTTCCTGGACGAAGGGGGAGAAAATGGAGTTGAGATAGGTGGAGATAAGTTTGGTGGGGCAGGAGCAGGTGGAGACAATGGGTCGACCAGGGCAGTCAGGTTTGTGGATTTTGGGAAGGAGATAGAAACGGGCTGTGCGGGGTTGGGGAACGATGAGGTTGGAGGCTGTGGGTGGGAGGTCACCTAAAGTGATGAGGTTGTGGATGGTTTGGGAGATCCTCACCTGGTCTGGCCTACATGTGACTCCAGACACACAACAATGTGGTTGACACTTAACTGCCCTCTGGGCAATTAGGGATGGGCAATAAATGTTGCTGGCCAGCAACACCCTCATCCCGTAAATGAATAAAGAAAGAAAGTCAGGATAGCGAATGGCTTGGAGGGGAACTTTGCAGGCAGTGGTGTTCCCTTGTATCGGCTGCCATTGTCCTTCTAGATTGGAGTGGTTGTGAGTTTGGAAGGTGCTGTCTAAGGATCTTTGAATTTCTGCAGTGCATCTTGTAGATGGTACACACTGCTGCTACTGAGCGTTGGAGCCGGAGGGAGTAGATGTTTGTGGATGTGGTGCCAATCAAGCGGCTGCTTTGTCCTGAATAGTGTCAAGTTTCTTGAGTGTTGTTGGGGCTGCACCCATCCAGGCAAGTGGGGAGTATTCCATCACATTCCTGACTTGTGCCTTGTAGATGTTGGACGAGCTTTAGGGAATTAGGAGGTGAGTTACTTGCTGCAGTTTTCCTAGCCTCTGACCTGCTCTTAAAGTGTGGGTCCAATTTAGTTTCTGGTCATTGGTACCATAAAGGATGTTGAAAGAGGCGGATTTGAGTGATGCTAACACCATTAATTATCATGGGGTGGTGGTTAGATCTTTTTCTTATTGGTGATGATCATAGCCTGGCATTTGTGTGGCATGAATATTGCTTGTCTCTTGTCAGCCCGAGCCCAGATATTGTACAGGTCTTGCTGCATTTGGACATAGGCTGCTTAGATATTTGAGTTGCAAATGGTGCTGAATATTGCACAATCATCAGCGAGTATCTCCACTTCTGACCTAATGGTGGAGGGAAAGTCATTGATGAAACAGCTGAAAATGTTTGGGCCTAGGACAGTACCCTGAGGAACTCCTGCAGAGGTATCCTGGTGCTGAGGTGACAACTGATCTCTAACAACCACAATCATCTTCCTATGTGCCAGGTATGCTCCCACCAATGGAGAGTTTGCTCCCTGATTCCCACTGATTCCAGTTTTGCTAGGGTTCCTTGATGCCACTCCGTTGAATACAGCCTTGATATCAAGGGCTGTCTCTCACTTCACTTGATGGCTGAAGATGTCCTGCTCACTTTGTCTTCTCCCTTTGAACAAATAAATGCAAGCTTAGCGAATGGGATCAATTAACCAAAGCAGCTTGTTATCTATAGGGATCTCCAATAATCAGAAGATTCAGGTATTTAACCTTTAACTCCTCATAAACCGAACTACATAATTGTTATCACCACAAATCCAGTGACATCCCTGAGGTATATTCCATGTATTGGCTGAGAGGAATTCTCACTAACCTGTGTAGATCTTTAGCAGTGAGGTCTTTTAGAACTTGTGCCACCTTTCCCAACAGGAGTCATGAGGCTGGATGTCATTTTCGTTCTCAGTTGCAAGCATCTGGAAGCCTGCTCTCCAGCAATTCACCATTTCATTCCTCATCCCCCAACCCCAAACATGAATGCTATGTGTCCATTTGCCAATGTTGGGGATGTTTCCCATCCACAATAAAGCACCTGTGGTTGTTGAGATTTAATGTTTTGATACTGTGTATAACATCTTTGAGTATTTTATCAATACTGTTGCAGAGAATTGAACCACATGTGGACGAATTGATCGCACTTTTTGACTTATTAAAGTGTTCATAACAGTGCTATTCTATAAGTACTATGTAAAGTACTACATTGACATCTGTTCTTTGTTCCAGGAGCTATCTAAGATTGCTATGCCTGTTATTTTTAATGAGCCACTTAGCTTTCTGCAGAGACTTACAGAATACATGGAACACACATATCTTGTCCATGAAGCTATTGGCTCCCGTAATTCATTAGAGCGAATGCAGGTACAGTATAATCATTGCTTTCTGATCTCTAGCTGTTACCTATTTGAATCTGGATTGTGGTTCAGTTAGAACTAACTAATTAAGAATGCACTGTAAGGAAAAGCTTTTCTATTGGAAAAAATTAGAATATTGCGTAGTTTCTAAACACCGGAATTATTTGCCTAAACACACTCTATTTCTCTCCTCCTTTCTTTAAACCCTCTCCACCTGCCCTGATATCCCATTATTTGGCTTGGTGTCATATTTTGTTTGACACCCTTCTGTGAATCACCTGTTATGCAACATTAAAGGCAGTATATCGATGCGAGATATTGTGATGAGCCACTTAGCTATCTTTCTTTTCCTCTCTAACCTTCATGTCTCGCTATCTACCAACATGTGAACGTACGTGGTGGTAACTAACTAATGGCACCTTGAACCTGTCGTATCATTTGACAAGACCTGATCTCATTATGGCCTGAATATCATCTCCACCTACCCCAATACACATTGAATCCCTATGTTTGCCTTAAAAATATCCTTTGATTCTGATTCCACACATCCCTGGAGAAGGGAAGCCCACAAACTTTCCCAGAGTTAGTAAGAACTGCATATGCTGGAGTCAGAGATAACACAGTGTAGAATTGGAGGAACACAGCAGGTCAGGCAGCATCAGAGGAGCAGGAAAGTTGACGTTTCGGGTCAGGACCCTTCTTCAAAAATGGGGAGGGGGAATGGAGCTCAGAAATAAATAGAGAGAGATGGGGTGGGGCTGGGCAAGGTCGGTGGGATGGTAATAGGTGAGTGCAGGTAGGGAGTGGTGGGGATTGGTCAGTGAGGTAGGAGAAGCAGGTAGGTGGGAGAGATGATGGACAGGTCGTGTCAGGTCAAGGAGGCAGGGATAAGAGGGAGGGTTGGGCAAGGGATGAGGATAGGGGTGGGGAGATTTTGAAACTGGTATAATCCACATTTAGGCCATTGGGCTGTAGGCTCCCGAGACGGAATATGAGGTGCTACTCTTCCAGTTTCCGGGTGACACTGGAGGAGGCCGAGGATGGACTTGTCACCCAGGGAGTGGGAGTGGGAATTGAAATGGTTCGTGACCGGAAGGTGTTGTAGTTTTTCGTGAACAGAGCGCAGGTGCTCTACAAAGCGGTCTCCAAGCCTCTGCTTGGTGTCACTAATGTAGAGGAGGCCACTTCAGGAACAGCGGATGCAATAGACCACATTGACAGATGTGCAGGTGAACCTCTGTCTAATGTGGAAGGCTTGTTTGGTGCTTTAAATGGAGGTAAGGGGGAGGTATAGGAGAAGGTGTAGCACTTCCTGTGGTTGCAGGAAATGGTACCAGGGTAGTGGGGCTAGTGGGGAGTATGGAGCAGACGAGGGAGTTGCGGAGAAAGCGGTCCTTACGAAAGGCAGATAGGCGTGGGGAGGAAAATATATCTTTGATTGTGTGGCAGAGAATGGTACGTTGGATACAGAGGTTAGTGGGGTGATATGTGAGGGGAAGTGGGCTTCTGTCTTTGTTTTTGTTGGGGGGAGGGGCGTGAGGTCAGAGGTGTGGGAAACAGAAGAGATGCGGTTGAGAGCATTTTTGACCACCGAAGGGGGGATGTTGTGGTCCTTGAAATAAGAGAATATCTGGGATGTTCGGGAGTGGAATACCCCATCTTGGGAGCAGATGTGGTGGAGGCAGAGGAATTGGGAGTAGGCGATCGCATTCTTGCAGGAAGGTGGGTGAGAGGAGATGTAGTCTAGGTAACTGTGGGAGTCAGTGGGCCTGAAATAGATGTCAGTTTCGAGGCAGTCACCAGAGATGGAGACAGAGAGGTCCAGGAAGGAGATGGAGGTATCAGAGATGATCCAGGTGAAACCCACTCTTTGAGAGAAATGATTTCTCCTTGTCTCTGTCTTGAATGGGAGACCCCTTATTTTTAAACCACCCCTAGTTCTAGTCTGTCCCACAAGGTAAGCATTGTTGACAAAAATAGAAATTGCTGGAAAAGCTCAGCAGGTCTGCCAGCATCTGTGGAGAGAAATCAGAGTTAGCGTTT